CGCCTTGCAGCCGCCCCGGGCGCCGAGGGCCGGTGTGACGCGTGCCCTGCTCTCTCCTGCAGCCCCCCAAGGAATTCAAGGTGTGGAAGAGCAACGCCGTGCCCCCGCCGGAGACCTACAGCCCGCCCGAGAAGAAGCCCCCGCCGCCGCCTGCCCTCGACATGGCCATAAAGTGGTCCAACATCTACGAGGACAACGGCGACGATGCACCCCGGCAGGCCAGCAAAGCCCGGTTCCTGCCGGATGAGGAGCAGGAACACCTAGAATCGGGTGAGGTCCTGGCGTAGGGCAGCTGGGTGCTTCAAATCTGTGTGCGTAGGGAGGTGAACTGGGCAGGTGCGTTCTGTGAGTGGTCTGTGACTGGAGACCTCCCTGCCCAAAACTCGGAGGAAGTTCTGCGGGCCTCTTCTACATCCACCAGTGCTCAAGGGCAGAGCAGTAGTTGGCTGCAGGGGGGGCTGAAGCTTCAGTGCGTGCGTTCTGTTTTTTCTAGAATTAATTGAGGCTCTCCAGCAATCTCTCTGCTCCCCTTCCGTTGTCGCTAGTGGAAGCAGGGAATGATTAAAGAATCTGTAGAACTGTAGTTACATGAAATTAGCAGGTTCAGTCATGGTACTGGTAAAACAGAAGGTTGTATAAGAGCTTTAAGCGCTGCTGTCTTGACCCTAGGTGTAGATGTAGGTGAGATTATTTTTATAATGTTTGCAAAAGTGGTGGGCTGAGAGGGGAATTAAATGAAATGCCCATGTGACAGATTGCTGAAGAAAATATTTACTGTTCTCTTGACTTTTAATCGTGGTACAAGCTGTAAGGGTAATATAGGAAGTAAAGAAATATTTGACAGGAGGGAGCAATTATTTTCTTTTAAATTGCTGGAGGAAAAGAATAGCCAGTAACAACCAAGAGAACAAAACCAGAAGAAGAAATTCTGGCTTTTCAGAACACATGATAATGTTTTGGTTCACCAGTAAAGTTGTCAGCAAACCTTTTCAAAGTGAAGGTTTTTTTGCTGTCTTGCTCCTTTTTTTGTTCTGGCTGTTCTTCCTCAGCGGCAGTTTTTCTCTCTCTCTCTTGCTCTATTTGTTCTGTATGCTTTTTTTTTTTTACCCTACACATTTCTCTTAGTCAGCCTTCATCCAAAGGCTAAGAGGATAAACTGTTAATCGACCTTGACATTACTTCCTGCTTCTAAAATGTAATTTCCTAACTTTTCACTTACCTATTCAAATAATATTTTTTTAGAAAAGGTACTGTACAGTAGCATAACCAGGCCTCTTAGTTATCCTCAATGATCTGTGGTAGAAATAATAAGTAATCGTTCCTATTCTGTCCACGTATTGTTCACACTTCAAAAAGGATGATGTCAGTTAATACTGCTGCCTTTTTTCCAGGCATCTCAGATGTGGTTTAGTCAGTTGTTCTGAGATGAGGATGGTGTTTAAGAGAAAGATACTGGCTTTGCTGATTTTGATTAACTCTGTCTTTTATTTAAAGATGGTGAAAAAGATGATGAACCAGCTTCTGCTAAGAAACGTAAACTAGACTCTGGGGAGCAGACAAAGAAGAAGAATCTATAAGCAGGGCATGCTGGATTTAGCCATACGAGAATTTCAATGAACTTGGAGTCCCCTGCTGGAATGGGAAACAAATACCAGTTTACTGAATTTCTCTCTCCTATTGGGTAGGGAATTTTATTTCTGTAGTATGCTTGCCTTTTGGAAAGCACAAAATTAAATGGACAGTGTCATGATAGAAACTCGTCTGCTGAACAAAATTTAAACCTGTTTATTAAAGAGGGATCCATGGTGATGGATACTGGTGCTCATGCAGGTTACAGGGGTTCATAGTATTTTGTTTATCAAGAAACCTTGTAACGTGAGTGTTTCTGGACTGACTTTTCCACTGTGTCAAGACCTTTTATAAAGGATTGTATACTAAAGATTCTTCAAGTACTGTCCTGTGATATGTTTGCATAATGTTGTTTTGAAAGGTATGTAAAGACTGCAAATAGGTCACTGGAATAAAACTGCATTTGAAAACATCCATGGTATAAATATTGCATTGCATGTTTGGTGAATAGGAGAGATGAGATGAATTATGTACTATATGCATTTCAGTGATGTATTTCTTTTGATACAATGGATTCCTCAGGGTTTTGTTTGTAAAAAATACACAACTGCAGACTGAAAAATCATGGACCTAATAATAACTAATTATCATATTTGATAATTAGTTTTGATGTTATGTGAGCCACATCAGCAAAACATGAGACCAATTGATGCAGGAAGAATTGAAGCATTTAATGTATTTCTCCTAAAATTGAAAATAGGATCTAGATATTTATGTGGAAAAAAATTATGACAAAGGTGTCATAGAGTCTTTACTGCCAAATTGTATTTATTTCAGTACAAACCATTGGTAATCTTCTCAAAATTCTAGTCGGTATATGTTGCATTTGTGATATGCTGCTGCATGGATTTTTGAGTATATGAAAAAGTACCAGCAAAACTGGGTTGCAGGGAGGGTTGCTTTAGGTTTATTTTCAAATAAAGGTTCTGTGTCTTAAGTCTGCAGCGAGATTAGGCCTAATAAATAGAAGTTTATGTAATTAAATTATTAATGTAAACATTCATAGTTTTTATTTTCTTTCTGTCTTGGACTAGCTTTAATTTGGCAGAGCAGGTTCTGTATGTGTATGCGCTAATGTTAATATTTTTTTTAAAAGTGATTTAAATGTATTAACTTCATATACTCACTAAAAATTAGCAACAAGTTATGCAATTCTAGCCTTGGCAGGGTGATGATGCTTTCTCTGGATTCTTCTCTACCTGCAGACTCCGCAACCGCTCCTTGCCAGTTTCACAGGCTGTTGGGGCAAATCCACGATATATTCCACCCCTGCTGTGCTGCCCATCTGAAAACGATTCAAAGAGTGGTACTTGTACACAGCTGAGGGTTCCCCATGCACCAGCTCCCCTGGCACAAACCCAGATATCTGACATTGTCGTAGCAAGCTCCAAGATGAGGGAGGGTGTCATAGGCAGAGACATTTCTTGAAATCTGAAGGATTTGACATGAAGTACATGGTTCAGTGGACTGCCTAATTCTCAAGTCTTACTGTGTTTGCTACTGAAGCACTCCTCGAAGAGTGTTACAGCTGAAGGTTAATGTCACCAGCTCTAGAAATAGGATGCATTCCTGTGACTGCTGTGACCAAGGAGGCGTTTGTCCTTGTATTGTTCGCTCTGCTATTCTACAGGTCAGCTCAGGAAGTTACTATGCTAATCACTCCCTTTGTTTTCAGATCATATTGGTATCCAGTTGTCTTGAAGTTAACACTACCTGATACTCAGTTTCCAAGTTTCCAGCATGGCTAATCTGGGAGAAGAATGATTAATTGTATTATTTACAGGTTGAGGAAATCTTCAGTGTAAGCAGTGACCATGGCATCTTCCTTATTCAGGAGAAATGGCAAAAGCAGCTACTCTGCTTTTTCTTAAGACATCTGAAACAAGGCTGTGACAGCCTGTCTGAGGCTGAGTTATCTGGGTGGACTGGTTCTGCTGGTGGAAGTTTTTTTTGTAGAGGTGCTTCAGTGTATCATCTTCAGAAGATGAGAGAAGTGCTAGTGCTGCAGCTTCTGAAGCAACTGAGAAGATTGCTTCATACATACTTCTTGACATACAGGGCATACAAAAAAGCCCAGAGCAGAGAGGGAACTGACCCTTCAGAGTTCTGAGATAACAGCATGTGCATTTTATTGTAAGTAAATGAGATTGCATAAAAGAACTGTTATGTTTGTATCATCAGTCATTTGTAATGCAAACAACTACAGAACTCGTAGGAAAAAAACACTACAGTCCTGACTGTGGTGAGAAAATGGCTGGAAAGGCACAAAATCTTTCCAGTGATCAGCTTTCATAGTATGGTACTTACTAAGCAGTGCTTGCTTCTGCAGGGAAGAAACCACAGATACCTATAGCTGGTACAAAGAGGCTGTTCGGGAGCGGTTGGACTGAGCTAGACAGAATGTAGGTACTAGCCAGGAGAGGAAGAAAGGAAGAGAAAGCCTACTGATTTTGCTAAGGATCTGTAAGGTCTTACTCAGATACTATAAAAAGCTTCTAAGGAAAATGGGCAATAGGCTAAGTTACAAATGCCCATCTGGAGTTGGGCTTCAAGATCGAGATTACTGGTAATGCATCCATGGCATTCATAGCTATGAAGCTGTAAAATGAACAGCCATCATTTAAGTTCCTCAGTAAATCACTAGAGAGAGTATTACCAAGAAAGATGCGGTCACAATAAGCCTTGCAGTTACAGGAGGGCATCCAACAGTCCCCAAAAGGGGATTCAAGTCTTCTCTGTCCCCTAAAAAGCTTCTAAGGAAAATGGGCAATAGGCTAAGTTACAAATGCCCATCTGGAGTTGGGCTTTAAGATCGAGATTACTGGTAATGCATCCATGGCATTCATAGCTATGAAGCTGTAAAATGAACAGCCATCATTTAAGTTCCTCAGTAAATCACTAGAGAGAGTAGATGCGGTCACAATAAGCCATGCAGTTACAGGAGGGCATCCAACAGTCCCCAAAAGGGGGGACTGTCCCCTTTTTGCATGATTAGAAGCAACACAGATTGTACAAACCAAGAAAAATTGTTAATGATGCAATGCTTAAAGGAAGCAGGGCAGGTGAGTGGGAAGAAATAAGCAACAAGATTTTTTCATTTGTTTTGAAACTAGAAGAGGGGAAGACTCTGAAGAAGTTGAAAGGACAAAGCTTGATGGAATAAGAAGCACACTTGTAGGTTTTCTTCAGGTTTGGGCAGCTAATAATGAAAAATCGGCTGCTCTGTGCATCAGGATCTGTGAAATGCATGAGTGAACAATTACTAAACTTAAACTGATAGCTCAGATGTTCAAAAAAATCTCTCAACTAGAGAACTAAACTAGAGAAGTTTATCCTGGATTGTCTTTCTGTAGGAGACAGTGACAGCAAACACATATTCTGACTGACAAATGGGGAAGATGATTGGCTCTGAAAATTTGCCCTCTATTAACTCATCATTGTATTGCTTTTATGATTAATCAAGTGTGATGGTGATCATTATGTGTAATGGGAAAAAAGGCAGTAAAGAATGCATACAAATTTGATTTGAGAAAATTCTCTTAAAAATTCGTCAAGATTAGAAGAACCATGGCTGGAAGGCAATTAATTTGCAGTGAACACATTGCGTTGCCTCCAGATGCTGGCACAGTAGCAGCTACATTACTTGGGTTTCCAAGAAAGGCAGGATGATCTGGAAAAGAAGAATTCACATCAGTATAGAAGTACAGCTGTTGAGGATAATTGCTTTCATGGCAGAAATGCTAATGAAGAGGTTGTTGCAAGTCGTCCCTCCTTCAGTCATCCATCCTACTCCTATGCAACAGCTTGGGGCTACTAATGCTATTGAAGAACCGATTCATTTACAAATGGTTTGTGATATGCTTAAGGCTGCCAATCCCTGCATCCAGGGAAATGCTGTGTGTTCCACAAAGAGTAATTTGTCGTGAACCTGGAATCAGCGCAGAGGGAGGATGTTCTTATCAACGGAGAGAGACAGAAGCTGTGCGGCGCTGGCTGACTCTGGTGACAGGGAGCTCACTTGCCAGCTTGCCAATCTTGCAAAATCATGGCAGAGTTCGGATGAAAAGACGCAATGCTTTCAGTCACCAGCAGGATACAATTTGGGTTTTCTTTTCGGGCTGGAAGGGCTCTTCTGCCTCTTTCCGCCTTAGCTTGGTGATTTTTTCCAAACCCCTTTGACTACTGGTTGCAGATGTTTGTGCTTTTGCTTTGGGTGTGGGTTTGAGGTGAGAACAATGCAGGAATGTCTTGAGAGCCTGGAAGCCGATCACAGCTGACGTGGGCGTCCTTCAAGGATAAATGGTTGTACCAGTGGAAAGGGACCCCTGGCAATGGCTACAGCTGTGCGGCATTTCCATTTTGAAAGAAGATGTTCAAGGACACCCACAATAACTCCTTAGACTGGAAAAATCTGAAAGGTTGCTTTCCAAATAGCTGGAAAAATCCCAGCACCATCGGGCCGGGGCACAAGCAGGGTCGTAGCGGTGCCCTGCGGAGGTGAGCTTGGTGTCAGGCTGGTTGCTCCAGCAGCGACGGGGTGGAAGCGGCTGCCCAGGCGTGCTCAGGAGGAGTCGCCGGCTCCTCTCTCTGTAATTCACAGGAGGGCAAGTGTTGCAGAGGAAAAAAACTTCTCGAAAAGAAGACTCGCATGGGACGTGTTTAGAAAACCCTTGAGCAAATGGAGGCACCTTGCTAAGAGATCCGATTCCAGTACTGCCAAAGGCATTTTCTGGATGCATTGACAAAGGTGAAGTTTAAAGAACGATGCAACAAGAGGCAGTGATCAGCTAGGCAGTCTGCAGCTGTCTCAATGTCAAGACTGAAACAAAAGCAGGATTTATGTAGAGTAAAATGTTGGCGAAATACAGAAAATTGCTGAAAGAAAAACAGTGTTTTCATTGCACAGGAGGCTTCCAGTGGGATATGGGAACCTTAGCGAACGGTTCTG